AAAATGAAGGACAAACATCAGGAACAGGTAATAGCTCTATGAGGTAACCAGGAGGGGTATTATTCTCATTTTGAAGATGAGGACATGGAGGCTCAGAGGTTGTGACATCGTGGTCTCACAGCTAGTGTCAGAGCTAGAATTCAGAATCAGGTCACCTGGAAAGCAGATCTAGGACTCTTTCCAATATACCTCAATGCAACTTTCTTCCTACCCCCTACTATTTGAGTGCCCGGGTTGTAGTTTGTCCTTCCATTCTCAAAGAGGAGTAATGACATCAGGAAGGTGATGTCTTGACTTGCAAGTGAACTGGATTAAGTGAAGAAGGGATGTGCAAAGTCGCCAGCGTCCCTTTCTTCTCCAAGGTCATCTGAGTCCAATGACAAGACAAAGGTCAGGACAACTGGAGATGACCCCAAATGCAGCGGAAGATCTTGGCCTTTTTAAGCTAAGATCTGTCCCAGGTCTCAGTTTGAGGCAATACCCATTCAGTGATTTAAGGCTAGGTAAGAAATGAGGCAAAAGTTAGCCTAGTTTGCCTACTTAAAGGAAAAAAAAATCAAACTGAGAGGGGAACACACAGCAAAAATAAGGAGCAGAGCAGAAAAACTGGTATCTGCAATGACAAGCCTCACCAAAGAAAATAAGAGAGTAATAGACAGTGGATACATAAAGGAGTAATGATCCTTATGTATGCAGTGAATGTGGCAAAATATACCATATCATTTCCCCTTCCATGCTAATTACTTAATTTTCATGTGCCTTACAACTATTTGGGGGAACTCATTTTGGCAGATAGTTCTAGAAGGGAGTTTAGTGGTGGGAGGGTTGTTGTTGCAAGGATGTTGAAGTACTTATTTCCATGGGACAACCTCAGTTTAAAAATGGAGAAAAAATTAGGCAGGGCAAGAATGTGATTCATATTTGTTAAGCTTCTTCTAATATGCATAGATTGTTTTGATGTCAGTGGATGTTTGTTCAATTGGACTGACTCTTTCTTCTGGTGATTAAGGAAATTGGAATCTGCCTTGAACTTGGAGCCAAAGCCTAATCATATGGTATAATGGAAAATAGCCCAGGATTTGGAGTCAGAGGACCTGAGTTTGAATTTCAATTCTGCTTCGTATAATTTGTGTAATCTTAGGCCAATTGCTTTAACCTCTTTGGACTTGTTTCTTTATTTGTAAAATGAGAGGGTTGGACAAGTTCAGGGGTTCTTAATTCAAAGTCTGAGAATTTATTAAAAATATTTTGTTAACTGTATTTTTACATGATTCATTTCCTTTGCAATCTATATAGTTTGCTTTATGCATTTTTTTTTTTTGGTGAGGCAATTGGAGTTAAGTGACTTGCCCAGGGTCACACAGCTAGTATCAAGTGTCTGAGGTCAGGTTTGAACTCAGGTCCTCCTGACTCCAGGGCTGGTGCTCTATCCACTTGCTTTATGCATTTTAAAACATTTTGAGAAGGGGTTCATAGGTTTCACCAGATTGCTCAAAGGGTTAATGACACAAGATTAAGAACCCCTGGATTCAGTGATCTCTGTGGTTTCTTCCAGTTTTCAATTTATGAAATGAATACCTCAATAGCATAGGGAATCAGGTCTTTTTCTTTGACATCATTCATAGGAGGACAGAAATAGATATCAGTGATAGCAATTAACAGGGAGGCAGTATGGTACAAAGGAAAGAACAGTGATTTGGAGATATGATCTGGTGTCAAATTCTACTATTCTCCATGTGAACTTGGACAAATCATACAATCTTTCTGGGCCTCAGTCTTCTCATTTGTAAAATGAAGGCGTGGGACTAAATATCCGCCACGGTCCCTTCCAGCTCTAAATCTATGATTGTAAAATTCTATGAGTAAATAAGAAAGCAAGAACTGTGAAATCAGAGCTTAGATTTCTAGGATCACAAATTCTATCTCTTTGCTTGCTCCCCTGCTGTTTAATTCCCTCATTAAATTTTCTTTCATTCCCTGATGACTCAGGGGATTTTAGAGGCTTACTGCTAGAAACATTAAGTAGAGACTAATTGAAGCCCAGACAAGTGAGGTCCCTTACCTAAGGTCACATAAGCTAGCTAATGGCAGAGAAAAGAGCCCAGGTCTCTTGAGCCCACTCTAGTGTTCTCGGCAGTATACCACACTGCTTCTCATTTGACTCGTCTTCCCACCTTAAGGAATTGGATTTAGCATCTTCAAAATGGCCCTACACCATGATTATATCACAGAAAGCAAACAATATGTTCTCTAGCTTCTAGTATACTTCCATGTATACATGCACACATCATCATCATCATCATTTCTCTAAAAATTTTACCAGTTATTATTAAAGATTGGAGTCTGGTTTAAAAGAAAATTGGAGTCTGTCCAGTTTTATTTGCATTTAGAGAAGATGGCACAGCAGGGCCAGGTAAGACAATGGGACTGAGTTTAGACTCTTTTCAGATACAGCAAAAGAAAGGAGTTGCTATGGAGAGTGGGGAGTCGGGGGGGAGGGGATCGGCAGTGTGAAGGCCAGACTGGAGTGTGGCTCCTAATAGGGGAATTCAGCTGGGTAAGTGCAGAGTTGGGCTAATGGCTCTAGCTTTCTGACTGCTCACATTAAAGTCAATGTTTATATTTAATACAACCTACTTTTTACTCCTAGTGAAACCTAACCTATGAGTTTATCTTTCAAAAAAAGAAAATTAGTACGAAAAATAGATCAAGAAAAGAAAGATCAAAAGAATCAGGAAGAATTTTGTGAAAAGGGACATAGGAGGTCTCAGGGTAGTCTTCTAGAGGTTTACTGTAAGACTGGTTTCCCCTAAAAATCCTCTAGTAGTCTGCCAATGCTCAGGTGCTATGGTGACAAATTGGTTTCTTTTAACAGGTCCTATTCATTGCTATGGCAGATGGTAGCCTAGGCTGAAACATAGAGAAATATCCAGCCCTTGCAGAAGACGGCTTTTGTCATCTTGGCTTAGGGAGTGGGATAAACTTCTCTGATCTCTTCCAACATTAGATCTCTAGCTTCCAGCTGGTGGAAGCATACATGAAAATGTATGAGCTAAAGCACCATAAATATTTCCTTTTTTTTTTTAATAGTATACAAGGTGCCATATGTTCTGAAGTCAATAGACTAGATAATACTATATTTTTGTATACATGGGTTTTTTCCCTCTTGCTTTTTGGGCCAGTCATGGTATTATTGGGAGAAAGAGTATGTATAGTTTAACAACTTTTGGGTATATTTCCAAATTGTTTTCTAGAATGGTTGGTTTAGCACCCTGTATGTAAAAACTGACTTTCATCACAGAATGTGAGAGAGCTTGGGTTATACTTTGCATCTGTCTTTAGAGAAAGAAAAAGCAAAGAAACTAGCCCAACAGGTACATCTACCTGTCATTCATCACTTAAAACCTGTTGGAAAGAAGCATCATAATCTGATCGAAGGATTATATATATAGATGAGGAACTGAGGCTCAAAGATAATGGCCTGCGGTCACATGATTAATGTAACAGAAGAGACTGGAACCCAGGTCTTTCTGACTCCAAGTTTAGTACTGTCGATCTCCCACTGGATTGGGTAGTCAGAGGTGCAGGGACCCCTTTTTTGCAAGTAGGGACAGTCCAATTTTAAGGGCATAATAACAATGGCTTAAATAGGCCTATTTTTGTAATGAAGTCATTACTGTGTGGAAAAAAAACAAAACAAAACCAGGGTATTTCTTCCCAGTTGGAAACCCTAAAGCAGAATTCTCCAGCTGGTTGTCTAGTCACAAGTCTAGTATCAGCAGCCAAAGATAAAAAGGGGAAGATTTCTCTTTGAAGACCAAGCCCATGAAATCAGTTTTCCACTCCCCCCCCATTTTTTCTTCTCCATACAATTGTTAGCTCAAATGTAAAACTACAGCTCTTTCCTATAGTGTGAAGGAATTTTAGGACAGAAATATAGTCGAAGTGATATAAACAATGTAGCTGAAGTTAGCAAAAGTTCTCTTTTTCAGTTTCAAGTCATCAATCTTAAGTTACAGCTCTTGCAAACTTGTTGCTTTTCCAAAGGGGTAGTGGTGGTGGTAAATGATCTTCTTTCTGTATGGTCCCTAGCTCTAACCCTAACTGTTGCTGGGGCAGGAATCCGTCTCATGAATTTGGGCAAGATTCCCCCTGCATCTGCCCACAGGAAACTGATTTTTTTCTTCTAGTTATGGCAACTTTGGTAATGGTGTTGTATAGCAGAAAAAACACTGACCTTATGTCAGAACTGGGAATTGAACCCAAGTATCTTATTAGTTTCCTCTTCTTTTAAATGGGGACACTTGTGCTACCTACAAATCTTTTTATCTTAATGAAGGTCTGCTAGCACTAAGTGGATCTTATTCCTTCCAGCCGGGCTTTTTTCGGTTGGACTTAGCTGCCTGTTCAAAGAACCAGTAGAGCCAGGGCAGTTTCTTCTGCTCTGAATCCCTCAGCCCACCGTCACTTAACACTCCCCTACCTTTCCTTTCTAGTTCTTTTCCCCACAACTCCACACCATCCCCTCAGAGATTAATCTATGTGGCTCAGCCAGGCAATTCCTTCTCCCTTGTTTGGATGCCCTGATCCTGGTGTTTCATAACTAACATTTTAATGTGCAAGGCAAATTCTGCCCTAGTATAGTCTCTTGGTGTCCTTCCTTATAAGGAAATAAATACAGCCATTGTAAACATAATTCATATGCTGAATTCTAAAGATTCTCCACAAACAGCAAAATCTTCCAAAACTGAACCACATCTGGTGAGTGGAGACAAGTTCTCTCTTAGTAACTAAACAAAAAGGTTACTGATTATGGGCTGTACTGCTACCTACAGCATTGGATTGGCAAACCAAACAGTGATTTTAAGACATGCTCACATTTGTATTTTACACACATCCTCCTAGGGTAACACCTCCAACCACAATCACTTTTAGGGAGAGAGGTGTATTTTGGCAACACCCAGAAGGTCACACATCAAATAATGACAGATGACAAAGAATATGGTGAGATATATTTTATTTTGTCAGGGCTGTGGAAAGAAGACAAGCTGTTGACACTTGCCAGAAGTGTACCTGTAGCACCCCCTCCTGTCCAAAAGAGGCACTGCTTCACAGTGATGAGCACTGCATAGTTTTTGCATACATTCAAAAGATGTACTTGTATATATACCTATACACAGGAGGAAATCATCTCATTTTCGCTTATCAATTGAGTCTCTGACTCATCTTTATTGAGTTCTGCATTGTTCTGAAGTCATTCTAAAGATGAAAACTGAAACTAGGTCTCAAGACAGTCCACTGTTTCCTTCACAGCCTCCGGGCTTTTCTTGGGCGGCAACCATTATGTGGGATGGGGGTATTGTCTGTGATTGAGATGACCTCCAGGCCCCCCATGGTCAACCCCTTGATGGCAGACTGTGAAAGCACAAAAAAAAGACAGTCTGAGTAGAGTGGAACAAGATAAGAGTTATAACCCATATTTTGAAAGAGCTATGAGGACTTAAACATTAAGTGGAATTATTGGCAAGGACTGGAAGATGGCATGTGCCTTTGGATTCTATTAAGATCTCTTATCCTCAAACCCACTGCCATCAGTGTTTTGCCTCTAAGTCTACAATTTAACCACTGCTGAAGGGCAGCCATGCTTAGAGGAGCTGAGCAGCTCACAGGAGAAAACAGCTAGGCTTAGAAAATGAACTTTCCATGAAGGCTTAAGTTTTAGGATTCTCCTCATGCTCCTGCTCTCAGCTCTGGAAAGCAAATCCTATTACCAATAATAGGAAAAAAAAATTAATACAATCAGATACTTACTAAGCGCCCAGGTCCCAGGCCTTTCACCACCACTCTGACATGGATCACTCCCTTTGCTGTGGCTTTCTAGAGAGGAAACAAGTGGTCAGGTCTCCTACAATTAACTTACATATGTCACTGTAGATTATGCATAGCTGGTATCACTGCCAATTATGGAAACAAGGACAGAAGCTGCAGGTAGATGGAGAATGCTATGATTCTAGACCGGGGAACCTTTGGTACTGTAGAGGGTAACCTGAGCACTCAACATGATATGCAGAGAGGTAAGGGAGGGAAGGGATGAATGAGGGAGTAACTGAGGAGAGATATTGAGAGGAAGAGAACTGAGGATGTCAGAGAAGAACTCAAGTTAACTGGCCTCCCTTCCTAAGAAATAACAGCACTGCCACCCAGTGGAGATCTCTAAAGAGCCCTCAGATGTCCTCTGAGGGAGAAAATGTTGGGTTCTAGACCGTGAAGCCAAATGCTTGGCTTTAAGGATTGTCACAGATAGCCCCTGGCTTTTGAATACAGGAAACTTTGGTTTTTAAATCCATGATAGCCTAAACCTCTCCTACCATGCTGTGTGAAGGAGTATGTTTTTGTCTCCCTAGACTTCATTAGAAGTGAAAGGCAGAAAGCATTTCTTGCACTAAATAAACCACCAACTGCCTCCTAACCACCTCCATGCTAGGGAATATTAGCTGGGTACTGACAGATACTAAAACATTTTTTGATTTCTGGCTAAGCGGGAATTCTCCATAACGGTAAGACAGTTGTAAGCTAGAAGAAACGACAAGGAGCCCAAACAGAAAAAGTTCTTACCGCTGCTGCAGCAATGCCTGCAGTTTGTGCTGCAATCCCTGTGGCCTTTTTTGCATTTCTGAACCCTTCAGTGCCACAAGAAGTTCGGGCAAGTGGCACATTCCTGGAAGACACCACCTGGATGTGTGTGCTGGGAAAAGCAGATGCCAGGCAAAGGTCAAAACTGTGTCTTCTAATAAGCTCATCTAAAATCACAATAATAGCTACCATTTATATAGGGCTTTAAGGTTTGCAAAGTGCTTTACAAATAGGATCTCATTTTATCCTCATAGCAACCCTGGGAATTAGTCTATTATGCCCATTTTATAGATGAAGAGACTTGAGGCAGGTGACTTTCCCAGGGTCATAAAGCTAGGAAGTTTCCGAGACCTGAAGTCAGTTCAGGTTTTCCTGACTCCAGGCCCAGGGCTCTATTTACTGCAATAATTTACCTCAACTTACCTAGCAATAATTGCTAATGCCAAAGTTTCGCTTTTTTTAGTCAACAAAGTCAGAGTCCCAATAGCAGGAATGTTCAAAATTAGAAATTGGACAGACATATGGCAAAAGCAGCACATTATTTCTCACAGCTTCCATTTGGCCAATGATTCAAGAATACTTATTTTGTTTTTATTCATTCAACAAATACCTATTGATTTATTAGCACAAAGTGCTAAAAAGGACAAAAAAGATGAATTGAGACATAGTCCTTGTGACCCTAATGGCACTTACAATATAGTATGAAATAAGACATGCACACAGAATGTAAAACAAAGGTTTTCTGGTCCAGATCTGCGATTTCATCAGTGTATAGAAACTCTTCATTAATGAAAATCAGCAATGATCTGTCCCTTAAAATCTTAAGAAAAGTTAAGTGACTTTCCCATGGCCCCACAGTTACAATGTACAATCAGACACAGCCCATCTACCCAGGTTTTCTTGACTCCAAGGCTGGCCTTCTTTCTATTATGCCATGCTTCCTCTCAAAGTCTGAAGTAACAAAAAATCATGTGAGTTTTAAGTAGGGAGAAATCATTTCCAGTTGAAGGTTTCAGGGAAATTTTCATGGAGAAAATGATATTTGAGCTGGACTTTTAAAAACAGAATTTCAACAGGTGATGAGAGGTGAGTGGCACTCTAGGCATAAGGGAATGGTGTGGGCAAAGGCACTAAGGTGGAAAAGCATGTTCGAGGAATGACAAATAATTCCATTTTATTGAAGCATATAAGATGTTTTACATTAAATAACTAAATTTATGGTACCCATTTACATGATGACAAATAGCAGCTAATATTGCAAAGTACTTTACAGACATCTTATTTGAACCTTATACCAATGAGTTAAATGACAATTTCAGAGAGGGTGACATGCCTTTGATCAGAGTTAATTCAGAAGGATTTGAACCCAGATCTTCCTGACTCCAAGTCTACAACAGTATGCAGTGTCAAATATGTGGCTCACAACACTCCCCAGTGCAGTAGAACCAGATTAAAATGTAATTGGGGAATACTTAAAAATAAATAAAAATACAATAAAACATAGATAATATTAACATGTGGTTTTCTGACTCAACATGAGGACCACAGGATCCTTATGTATGGTTTAGTGGCCTCTGTTTCTATTTATTTTTATTTATTTTAAATTATATTTAAGATTACTGAACTACAGTATGCTGGGAAAAAAAGAAAGAAAAGAGAGAAAGGAGAGAAAGAAAGAAAGCCAAGTAGAATTTAGATATAACTCTAGTAACTGTAGCTTTAAAAAAAAAAGTCAGTCAAACCTATTCTCCATTTCACTTCTGCTATCCTCTTACTATTACTATCATCGAGAAATCATATATGGTAGCCCGAAGGGGGGTAAAAAGATGAAGTAAAGGTGTGTATCAGTGGGTGGTACATACAAACAGCTTCCTTTGCTGGAATGGATAAGTGATTAGAAGCCATCACTCTAGTGCTGTTAGTGCTGATATTTTCCCTACAAATAGTCTTTAGCTGCCTACACTGACCAAATTCAACAGAGATTCTCGTTTATCCCTCTGTTTCACTGACTATGCAGACATTCTAAGTGACCCTTTTGGGATTTAGTTTAGATCATTAGAAACTCTCTATATAAAATGCCTCATTTTATAGATGAAGAAACCCAAGCCCAGAGAGGGGAAGAGATTGGCTACAGTCACAAAGCAAGGAACAAATATCACTCCAAAGCAGGTGCCCTATTCCCTCCAACACAGATCCTCTTCTCAATCTCCAACTTCTCTCTATCAAGGGGTTCCTTCCCTGATGTCTTCAAACATGCCCAAGCCCGTTCCCCACCTTAAAAACCTTTACCAAACCCTAATATCCCTTCGTGCTATCATCTGACATACTCCTCTTTTTCTCTTGAAAAGCTATCTACACTTGCTGTTTCTACTTCCTTTTTCATTTACTTAACTGTCTGCCACCCCACTTTTGACCTCACCACTCAATTGAAACTGCTCTCTTTAAAGTTCCCACTGATGTTAATTTCCAAATCTGATGGTCTTTTCTCAATCCTAACCCTTCCTGCTGCACTGAGCACTGCTGACCACACTCTTCAAATGGATATTCTCTCCTTTCTGGAATTTCATGACATTCCTCTCTCCTGGTTCACTTCCTACACATCTGACCACTCCTCAGTCTCTCTCACTGGCTCATGTTCCACATCACACTCCCTAACTGTGGGTATTTCTCAAAGTTTTGTCCCAGGTCTGAGTCTCCTCTTCTCCCATACTTTCTGTAACCTCATTAGTTTTCTCAAGTTTAATGATCACTTCTCTACAGATGACTGCCAGATCTATGTTATCTAGCTCTATTCTCTCCCCTGAGCTTCAGTCCCAATGCCACTGACTGCCTACTGGATATTTCAAACTGAATGCAAGACGGGATATGGGAAAAGAGGTACATTGATACATTGCTGGAGTTATGAAATGGTCTAACCATTCTGGATAAATGCTGACAATCTGGATTATGGCCTAAAAACTATAAAACTGTGCATGTTCTTTATCTAGAGATACCACTAGGGCTACACTACAGAGATGAAATAAGGAGGAAAAGGACATAAGTACAAAAATTTTTATAGCAGCTATTTTTGTGATTGTAAAGAGTTGAAAACTGAGGGAATGCCTATAAACTGGGGAATAGCTAAACAAATTATAGTATATAAATGTGATATAATACTACTGTGCTGTAAGAAATCATGAGGGAGAGGGGATGGTTTCAGAGAAATCTGAGAAGACTTGTATGGAACTGATATAAAGTGAAGTTATCAGAACTAGGAGATTAATTTACTCTATAAAAATGATATTATAAAGACAAACAACCTTGAAAAACTTACAAATTGTGGTAATCAACTATAATTCCAGGGGACTTACAATAAAACATGCTATGAACCTCCGGATAGAGATGGTAGACTTAAGAGTGCAGATTAAAATAAATATATATGTCTAAACAGAGATATATTTTTCAGACATAGCCAATGTGGGGATTTATGTAACAGATTTCGTTTTTCTTTCTTTTTTTCCAATAGGGGCAGGGGAAGGTGGGAGGGAGAGAATGCAGATTTGAAAATGAAATAAAATTGAATTAAAAACAAACAAACCCTGAATGTCCCGAAAACATCTTTTCAACAGGTTTAAATTAAACTCAAGATGTCTAAAATAGAACCTTTCCCCCTAAATCTTCCTCTCTTCCACAAATATGTCAAAGGCATAGTCATCTTTCTACTGTCTGAGGTTTGTAATCCTGGCATCATCCTGAACTCCTCACTCTCCCTCATCCTATATCTAATCAGTTGTCGAATCTTACCTTTTCTACTTTTATAATACTTCTCACATCTTACTCTTTTTCTCTACTCACAAAGCTAGCATTTTAGTTAGGGCTCTCATCACCTCTTGCCTAAATTACTCAAACAACCTATACATCGGTCTCTTGACTTGTTTCTCACCACTCCAGTGGTGCTCAAGTAATTTTCCTTAAGCACAGATAAGAGCATGTAACTCCCCTTATTTAACCAACCCCAGAAGCTTTCTATTGTCTCCAGAATAAAAAAAAAACCACATGTACTGATTAACTTTATATCTATAATATATATGTATTTATAACTTGTGTAGCCCCATTAAAATGTAAGCACACTGCAAGCAGGCATTGTTTCATACTCTGTATCTCGCATACCTAAATAAATATTTGTTGACTGATCTCAAAATTACTAACTATGAAGGACAGGTAAGTATTTTAACTTTGAAAAAGGCTCAAAGAATTTAAAGTTGTGAAAGACTTTAGAGATAATCTAGTTCAAGACTTTCATTTTATTGACAATGACGCTGAGAGACCTTGAAGGGGTTAACTTAACCAAGTTTACAAAGGTAGTTTTAGTGAACCTAATTCGAATCTATGGCATCTGACTCTGAATTCAGTGCTCTTTCTACCACACTGTCTTCTGCAAAGCATTTCCTTTCTCACCTCATTCTATAACTGAGAAAACTAAGTCCCAGAAAGGTTAAATGACTTGCACAGGCTCACAACAGCTAGTGAGTATTTGAGGTTGGATTTGAACTCAGGTCTTCTGGACTCCAAGTGATTCTTTTCATCACTCATGCTGCCACTGCTCAAAAACATTTCTGGAACTTCTTAAGTTTTTCACATGGCTTGTAAACTGATGCATATGAAAGTCCAGTCACATTACTATTTTTTCCTCCTAATGGTATTACCCAACTTAATTATCCTGCTTATCACCAGACTTTGTACTAAATAACTTTTAGTTATTAAAAAAAAAATTCACTCCCAAAGGATATAGGTATGGTGACAGTGAGTCTACTCAAGAGAAAATATAGGCTCTCAAGCTATATGCACTGAAGCAATTCCAAAAGCACACTGAACAATAGCATCACTTGTAATAAAGGTTTGGTCTCTCAAGATGACTTCTTTGAATGGATTTGAATGAATTTGGATGTGTAAGTTAGGATCTATCTTAAAAAAACAAACATATATGATAGTTGCAGTACTTCATATATGCATTAATATGCATGCAAACATATTTGTGTGCCTTATTTTCCAAATTACACAAGCTCTATGGTGGCAAGAGTCTTGTCTGTTTCTATCATACTTTCCACAATACTTAATACAATACTGAACATATAGTAAACACTCAACAAATACTTACTAATCGTGGCAGTACCACCTGGCTTTAAACCACCTCCCTTTAGTAGATTATACACTAAAAATTATCATTCTGATGAAAAGCAAATATATACAATAACAAATTTATCTCTTCTTGAGCCATACTAGCAGCATTTGAAAGAGAAAATTACAAAATTTTCAACTTTCATATTATTTGCAGTGCACTATAATGAAGTAATTTTGTAATGATATAGAGTGGTTCTCCTAAAATAAGATGAGAAAAGACATAAGAGGTAACAGTATGAGGAAACTCTACTGAATCTTTAGTGATGGGCAAGACACTAACATTAATCCTTCCCAATAACAGCTTACTGACAGTAGTAGGGCTTTCAGACCCAGGTTACAAAGGCACATTCTAGCTTGGGGTGTTTCTTCCTTACTTGTTATATGTTGCTTTAATGTGAGCTACTGGGATTTCTTCATATGTCTTGCCTTCCCATGTCAAGGAGCTCTCCTGGCCCGGAACTGGAGGGAAAATGCTATAAAAAAGCAGAAATATATTTAAAGTACTCCTATCTACAAAAGCATGAATAAGTCTGTTACTGAATACTTGCAAAAACTTCAAAAACTTATTGCTACTATCTGACTCATTCTCATTTTGCCCCACTGGGAAACAGATAAACATCCTGAAAAACTGAAACACAGAAAAATAACTTTCTTGATCAAAGTCATATAGTAAACTAGCAGGGAAACCATGAGACATAGGATTATAGTTAAGATTCTTGCTTGCAGGGTAGAAGGAGGGGAGAGAGGCCTCTGTTTTGAGGTTTTCATGACATTACCCTCTTCGGGCTCTTTTCCTACCTATCTGACTGATCTTGCTCAGTCTCCTCTGCTGTCTCTTCAACCAGGTCACATCCATTAACCTGGATATTCCACAGGTGTGTCCTGGACCCTCTACTCTCTCTGTGCTACTCCAATCGGCAATCTCATCAGTTACTGTCTGTATGCTGATGATTTTCAAATCTATCCAACCCTAACCTCTCTGCTGATGTCTAGTATCCCAACTCCAATGGCCTACCGGACATCTCAAACTGGATGTCCCGTGGACATCTTAAACTCAACACATCCAAAACTGAACACTTCAACTTTTCTCTCAAATCCTAAAGTCTTCTTAACTTTCATATTACTGTTGAGGGCACTACCATTCTCCAAGTTAACCAGACTCACAACAGAGGTGTCATCCTCAACTAACTCCTCCCTCTCTTGGCACCCCAATCCAATCTATTGCCAAGGTCTATTGATTTTACCTTCATAATACCTCTTTAATACTCCTCACCCTCCCTTTCCCCCACCTCCTTCTTTCCTTTGACACCACTACCACCCCAGGTACAGGCCCTCATCACCTCATGACTGGATAATAGCCTGCTGGTTGGTTTGCCTGCCCACTCTAGTCCATCCTCCATTCAGGTGTCAGTGATTTTTCTAAAGCACAAGTCTGACCATGTCATTGCCCTCCCCTACTCAAAGTGCATCCCTACCTATCTCCATCAGGATAACATATAAAATCCTGTTTGGCATTCAAAGTACTTTAGAACTGCCCTCTCCTTTCCAGTCTTCTTATACCTTACCCCTCCCTCCCCCAAAACACTTTTTGATCCAGTGACTCTGGGCTCCTTGCCCTTCTTTCCAAAAAGATACTATTTCCTGACTGTTTCCCTCTTCTCCACCTCCCGACTCCCTTCATTTCCCAGCTAAAATTCCAACTTCTACAAGAAGCCTTTCCCAATCCCCTTTAACTCTAGTGCCTTCTCTCTGTATTATTTCTAACTTAACCTGTATATATCCTCTTTGTACATAGGTGTTTGCATGTTGCCTCCCTCATTAGGCTGTGAGGTCCCTGACAGCAGGTGAAGTCTTTTCACCTTTCTTTATAACACCAGTGCTTAGCCCCGTGACCTACACATAGTAGGCGCTTTACTGACCATCTGATTCTGAAACCTGAAGCTGGAAGGACTTCAGAGGTCTCTTAGTGACCGCTCCAAGGTCAAAAGGGCAGTTAGTAAGTGGAAGAGCCAGATTCTGGTGCCCTTTCCACTGTGGTCCCGGTCCTGACACTCTGGCTCTCTTCAGCCTGACACCTCTCACTTGTACAGACGCAACTGGTCACTCTGGACCTGAGAAAGTTCTTGGTCCGAAACTGCTTTTCCCTTACTCAATGAAGCCAGGCACCGTCCTCTTCAGCAAGGAGGGGCTGGGCTTGGGTTTGCAGCTGGGGAAAGGGGAACAGGAGCACTCCCTGGGCACCCAGAGCAGGACAAGGATAAGGGGCTGGGGAAGGGCTTTTTTTTTTTCTTAAGGGTCACTCTGGACCGGCCTCACCTGAACCTGCTAGGTTTCTGGGCAGCCCCCGGCTCTGCTTCTGTTTCCGCCTCCGTCTTCTCCACCGCCCCCTGGGGCCTCCGCGCGCTTGTGTGGAGAGCCCCGCCTGGAGCATCGTCCCAGACGCTGCGGAGAAGAGAAGGCCCGGTGAGCTCTGGGTCGGGCGCCCACCCTCATTGCTCCCCCCACCCCGACCCCCTGACCCCCGACCCTGGGAAGAAATGAGAAGACGCCCTAGGCGCTGGACAAAGATCTGGGGTCGGAGGCGTGGGCAGAGGCTGTTCTTACCCCAAAGTATGGGCCCAGGTCCGCAGGGGTAAGAGGCGCCGACCAGCTGTCCTCAAGACTTGCATGGCCGGACCGGAGCTCCGGGCTGTCGGCTCAGAGACTCCCGGTGTGGGTGGAGCCTCGCCGGCACCACGTGCGGGGGGGGAGAAAGAGGAAAAAATGGGAAACTAAATTATTGTTTTTCCATTCTGTGGCTGCTAGATATAGCTACTTGATTTTTATTAAAATTCAAACAACTCTGAGTAAAGTCACTCCCGAAATGCTGTCCTCTTTTATAAAAGGCCAGACACACAAAGAACTGCACTCCCCTCCCTCCTCATTGAAATAGTTTGTCCTAAGGCAAAAGGCAAAACTTTTCGCGTCCTTATACACGCGGTGTCTTGTGGGAAAAACGCGGCGCCGAAGAGGGCACTCCGCTGGAAAGCGCGGTGCATTGTGGGGAGGCTGAGAAGATGGCGGCCCCCATGAGGAGGGCGCTGTTGTACGGCGCGGCGCGAGACTCGGGGCGGCCGTGGCGTTCTCGGACCCTTTGTGCTGCAGCCGCGGCCTCCGGCGGGAGCGCAGCCTCCCCGAGCGGCGGGTCTCCGTGGCGCCTGCTGGGAGCGTTGTGCCTGCAGAGGCCTCCGATTGTCTCCCAGCCTCTGACTCCTCTGCAGGTGGAGATGGCCGAGCTGCTGCAGCAGGTAGGGCCCGGCCACCCCGGGGGCGCCTGTGCTCCTGCGCCCAAGCGGCCCCTGACGTAGCATCTGGGGGCCCTGGCTCAGACACGCCTGAGCCGTGTGACCTTGGGCAAGTCACTTAGAATCTGTTTCTGGGCCTCAGTTTCCTCTTCTGCAAAGTAGGTGCTTGGAAAGCTAGGTGGCGCAGTGGATAAGACAGTCTGAAATCAGGAAGACCTGAGTTCGACTGACTCCAGACACTTCCTAACTGTGATTCTGGGCAACTCACTTGACCTTATCTAGCCTCAGTTTCCTGATCTGTAAAATGGCGATAATAACATCATTTACCTCCTAGGGTTAAAACAGCTATATAAATGCTAGCTGTTGTGGGACCTTGTGGTCCCCAAGGCCCTTTCTAATTCTCAATCTAGGATACCTTCGGAAGAATGACAAATTTTTTTTTTTTCAAATGTGAAGCAGTTGGGGTTAAGTGACTTGCCCAGGGTCACACAGCTAGTGAGTGTCAAGTGTCTGAGGCCGTATTTGAACTCGGGTCCTCCTGACCCTAGGGCCAGTGCTCTCTCCACTGCGCCACCTAGCCGCCCCAAGGATGACAAATTCTTGAAAAGTGTTGCCATGTTTAGATTGTCCTCCCTCCTCACCTTTGCCTAATAGAATCCCAAGCTTCCTTCAAAGTACAGCTCAGGTGCCGCCTGCAAAGGCTTTTACTAATTCTACATCTCCTCCCCTTTTTAGTGCTCTCTCCTTCCTAAAATAACTATTTGTGTATAATTTGTATAACTTTGTATATAATTTGCATTTACCTATTTGTCTACATTTGTACGTGTTTACTCCGTGGGACTTTAGGCAAGTCACTTAATTGTAAAAGTCACTCTATTGTAAAAGGAAACTTTTGGAGTTTGATTACTTGTAACGACTTACAGCTTGATTCTGTGTAGTATTTTTCATTTAACCAACATTAAGCTCTTGCTGTGTGCGGGGAGTATTCTCTCAAATGCATTAAAATGTAAATTTCTTAGGGGATTGTTTCTTTTTAATGTACCCCCTGGCTGTGGAGTACAGAATTTTAGACTTAGTAGGTACTTAATAAACGTTTGTGGAAATGAATTTAGTGGTCCCTGGTGCTGTGGAAAGGTCACTCTTACAAGCAGTGAGCCAGGAGACCTGGATTTAGAACTGGAAGTCACCTTAGAGACCAGCTAGTTCAATCCCCTCATTTGATGTCTGTGAAATGAAAGTAAACACCCACCCTACCTAGCTACACACTTAACTCACATTTTAAAAATCTTTAGGGTATACAATGTGCTTTCCTGGAAACTCTGGAATACAAGGTCAAGTATCATCATCTTCTTTTATAGCTGAAAGAATTGAGGTTACAAGAGAGTCGATGACATTTCCAAGTCCATATAACTAGTATTAGTTAGACATAGGATTCAAACCCACATTTCCAGATTTCAAGTCTATTGGTCTTCTGTGGAGGGTTGTTGTGAGGCTCAAATGTGATGATTTACAGAGAATAAATGTCAACTCTAAAATGTTTAGTAAATGGAGTAACAATTCATAGAGTGCTTTAGAATTTTAAAGGTCTTCTTCCTTACTGTAACTTTTTGGGTTAGGTATTATAAGAATTGTTCCTGTTTTATAGAGGAGGAAGCTGAGGCTAAAAGAGGTGAAAAGTTTTATGCCCAGTTAGTGTCAGAGCTGGGTTTGGAACCCAGGTCTCACATGACTCCTAGTGTAGCACTTTGTACTATGCCAGACTGCCTTTAAGATATTGTTGTAACCCCAAGATTCTGGAACTTTGCCTTTCAGGCCCCATAATCTACAATACCGGGGCTGTTTAACTTTATGTCAAACCTGTTTATATGATCCCCATATCAAAGCAATTTTTCACTAAAATTCTTCGAAAGATTTTGATTACACTTAATTTTTTCTACCTTATATCACAGTTACATACATGTCTTTACTTGTCCATCCCATTAGACTGTAAACTCTGAGAGTAGTATCTTTGTATATCTGTTGTCTAGCACAAGCTGACATTTGATAAATGAATGAATAAAAAGACATTTATTAAGTGCTTACTGTGAGCCAAGCACTGTACTAAGAGCTGAGGTTATAGATACAAAACTGAGAGAGTCCCTTCTCTCAAAGGGTTTACATTCTAATGGACACAGCACACATAGAAGCATTCAGCCACAGGGATACATGGAAAGGCCCAGTGGGCTTTAGAGTATAGCAGCAAGTCTAATGGTAATTTATCCTCTTTAATATTATTTCTATTATTGAAATGATTGGACTGTCTATGTCAATCCATCCTCCACATCCTCAGTGAATGAATGGATGAATCAATGAAACTTAGCTCTTAACCAGAAGGAAAGTGATATCTCTTTGACAGAGAGAACAGGGACAGGTACAGTGATGAATGTACTTGACCTTCGTAGATACAGCAGCATGTTAAATTGTCTGAGTTATCATGTGTCAAGCATAGGCATAAAAGATATTAGCTTAGTTAACAAGCATTTTTTTTTAAATTTTTAGGTTTTTTTGCCCTTCTTTATTTATTTTAAAATTAATTAATTTATTTTTAGTTTTCAACATTCACTTCCACAAGATTTTGGGTTCCAAATTTTCTCCCCATCTCATCCCTCCCCCACCCCAAGATGGCATGCATTCTGAATACCCCTTCTCCTAATCGGCCCTCCCTTCTATCTCTTCCCCCCTTCTATTATCCCCTTCCCCTTCAATTTTCCTGTAGGGCAGGATAGATTTCTATACCCCATTTCCTGTATATCTTATTTTCGAGTTGCATGTGAAAACAATTTTTTAACATGTTTTTAAAACTTTAGGTTCGTCAACAAGCATTTTTAAAGAACCTATTGTGTGTTAGGTACTGCTGAAAACAGAGTACAAAGGCAAAAAAATGAAACAATCACTGTTCTGAAGGCAAGGAACTTATATCCTGTTGAGAAAGACAACATATACATGTATTGGTATATAAAAAAAAAAGTAATTCAGGAGGGAGAGTATTAGCAGTTGGGATGAGGAAAGGCTCTGTGTAGAAGGTGTTGCTTGAGCCATGTTTGGAAGGAAGAGAGATATTCATTGAGGGGGAGGTGAGTAAAGTATTTTCCAGGTATGGAGGATGGCCAATACAAAGATGGAATGCTGTGTGAGGGGAATAGAGGCTGGTTGGGCTGCACCAAGGAGTGCAAGAAGGGGAGTAGTGTGTAATGATATTGGAAAGATAGATTTGGGGCCCAAGTTGTGAAGGGCTTTAAAAATCAAACAGAAGAGTTTATGTTTGAAATTAGTGAAGTGAAACCAGTGGAGCCACTGGAATTTATTGAAGAGAAGAGTGATATGGTCAGATCTGCATAGAGGGAAATTACTTTGACAGCTATATGGAGGATGGATTAAAGTAGGGAGGGACTTGAAGCAGGCAGACCAATTAGGAGGCCATTGCAATAGACCAGGCAAGAAGTGTTGAGGGTTAGATTTAGGTGATGGCTGAGGTGATGGTTGTATGTGAGAATTACGAAGGTAAAAATGGCAGGATTTGTTAACTCATTGGATATATGGCATGAGGTAGAATGAGGATTTGAGGATAAAGAATGGTGACAGAAGTAGGATTCATATAATCAAATACATTGTTGCCCCAGTTTTTGAATTGAGGAAATGCTTAACCTACCCAGAATTCCTCATCTCCACACATATGTGGTCATTATCCTGGCCCAGACATTGAGTGTAATATAATTCCTGATCACATCATAGGGTGATATTTCCATATTTGAGCGTAGCCATCTTTCAAATGTTTTCCTATATTTCTGCGGAACACTTTGGTGATTTTCTTGGCTCAAGTTTATTTATCTGACCTTGGAAGTGAACTTTTGGTCCTGTGGGATGTTCCATAGTTCTGTTTTTTTTTTTCCTCGTCCATCCTTCCCAGATTGAGGTAGAAAAAAGCCGATACTCAGACCATGAGATTCGTGTTTTGGAAGAAACATGGAGACTGGAGAGGAAGAAAGCTGACATTTATGACTCTGATGATAATGACGAAGATGATGAAAAAGACATTTTGTTGGCACAAGATTTGGAAGATACGTGGGAGCAGACATTCTTGCAATTCAAACCTCAACCTCGGGTAACAGGTTTGTGGGTTTTTTTGGGGGGGGGGTGTTAATGGAAAGAAAGGGATGCATTATGATTCCTAAATTAAGAGTTATGTTTAAATTTCTCTTATTTCAAGTAATATTATCATTATCTGATTATAGGCTATATTCTTCCTCAAATCCAGCTTGTATAAAAAACCTTGGTGCGGTTTATAATAGATGTTACCTTTCACTGCATATATACCTATATGTTTCTTTTTAGAGAGATCTCATTTTAGGTGTAGAGCCTGTATTTGGACTAATGGCAAATGCCATAAGCATG